CAATATAGATAATGGCCTCCCTTATTATACTTCTTGCCTCATAACATCTGGAACACTTAGATTGTTGCAGGCAATGAAAGGACGGATGACAAAGATACACAGGCAAAAGACACCATAACAGTCCAGTTATCTCTCAAGTATGAGACAGTTATTGGTATTGGTCAAAAGCAGTTACATGATCATATGACCAATATAGATAATGGCCTCCCTTATTATACTTCTTGCCTCATAACATCTGGGACACTTAGATTGTTGCAGGCAATGAAAGGACGGATGACAAAGTTACACAGGCAAAAGACACCATAACAGTCCAGTTATCTCTCAAGTATGAGACAGTTATTGGTATTGGTCAAAAGCAGTCACATGATCACATGATCAATTGATAAATATAGATAATGGCCTCCCTTATTATACTTCTTGCCTCATAACATCTGGGACACTTAGATTGTTGCAGGCAGTGAAAGGACAGATGACAAAGATACACAGGCAAAAGACACCATAACAGTCCAGTTATCTCTCAAGTATGAGACAGTTATTGGTATTGGTCAAAAGCAGTCACATGATCAATTGATAAATATAGATAATGGCCTCCCTTATTATACTTCTTGCCTCATAACATCTGGGACACTTAGATTGTTGCAGGCAGTGAAAGGACGGATGACAAAGATACACAGGCAAAAGACACCATAACAGTCCAGTTATCTCTCAAGTATGAGACAGTCATTGGTATTGGTCAAAAGCAGTCACATGATCATATGATCAATATAGATAATGGCCTCCCTTATCATACTTCTTGCCTCATAACATCTGGGACACTTAGATTGTTGCAGGCAGTGAAAGGACGGATGACATTTTTGAATACTTTTCTTCATTGGCGGGTAATTTTGATTGGATTCTACACAACTCTGAAAGTTTGCATTTTGCACAGTTTTTTTTAGGATAAAACATTTATTGACCGACAATATCAAGAATAGGTGATTTTCAGTTCGACTGAGAGATTTCGCGAGTTGTGTGAAAGACACGCATCGAACGTCTGCTGCAGAAATCAATTTGATTTTGAACTCAAAATTTCTTTATTCCGTAGCTCACATCGAAAGCTTTGACAGGGGAAAATTGCGTTTGAATATCCTTACTTAATCGAAATTGCCTATCATCAAATGTGTACAGCACATTATTTAGCATGGAAATATCCCCAAAATATGTTAGCGTTTGTCTAATCCCACGTGATGTTTGTCGCCACTACGATGCTATGACTTTTGTTTGTCCTGTTTTTATGTTCGATTTCACGCATAACGCAGTATCTCGCAGTGAGCGGAAAATGGTCTATTATCAACCCCAACTGGCTGTTATAGGCCTCAGCCATCAGCTTTGACCAACACCAGTCACTTTGGTTCAATAAACTATACATTAATGAAATGCAGGCATTTTTTGCTTGAGTGCTGAAGATTTATTTGTCTGACCTCTGTACCATTCTAAGTCCAGATGAATACAGAGTGACACTGACTAGTGGAGCAATAAGGGGTCAACCATTTGAAAGCATTGTGGGAGGGGGGGATGGAAGAGTGTGACCGGTGCAAATTGTTTTCTGCCTAATCTGTCCTGTTTTATTTTTCTCAAATGTGCCAACATCTTTTCCCTGTAATAATTTGTGTGCAAATTTTATCTTAATTTTTAAACTAATCTTCCGGCCACCCTTCATTATTTCAAATGGTCGACCCTCAAATCTCTAACACAGCTGAAGTAAAACTTACATGAAAGGAAACACAAGAAGTGGCAGTGCACAGAGGAGTCTTCCTTTCCAGTTATTTGGGAAATAGTAAAAGTAGACGACCACGGTTCCGATAGTGTATAAGATGATGGAGTATAAAAGCAGCATGCCGATATAATGCTTTTCAAGTTGTTGATTACGTCGTTTGAACTTGAACAAGGCCTGTATGTCTTTGTCAAGCGACTCCAGCACCTCCATTGTGGAGGGCTTTTTCTGTAAGAAAAAAACAATAATACGGTATTTAAGATTGAAAATGATTGGATGAAAACCCTTTGAAATATAATAACACAAGAACAAAAAATTGTGTGGTTTTTTAACTGAGTTTAAATCTTCTTTCTAAATTTATTGATTTTGAAAATTTCTTGTTTAATTAATAATCACATACTAGTAAAAATAAATCTCACCAAAATATTGTTTTAGACACAATTGCATGGAAAAAGTGACCCTACACTAGGTTGGTGTTTCAAGCAGGGATTGAAATAGAATTTTTTCCCTGCATGCACAGCATGCATGTTGAATTTGAAATTTACCTGCACTAACTTGATGTGAAATGCACCACTTTTTAAGTTTTAATTAAATTTACGAGTTTTCGATCAATGAGATAACGAAAGAATTTGCTTTTTTTTGAGTTATTTTACAATATTGGTTGAACTTAATTTAGGCTTAGTGAATATAATGAGAAAATGTTGTCTTAATTTCTAAACAATGTTTGTAAACAATGACACGCTATGGCCATCTGACGCATGCGCAGGTAACGACTCCCCCCACTAAGAAAATAAATTGTGTGGTTTTTATAGGTTAAATTTTAATTTTGTTTTCCTTCATCTGACATCATTTACTTTGCACAAGCTCGCTTACTACTTTACAAAACACATGTTTACAGTTGAATATTCTCAATTTGGCCAAAACTGAGATTCAACAAATTCAATCTCATTTTTTTTCATTATCGGCTGAAAAAAGTTCAGAGTAGGTAGTAAGTTTTAAGTACAGTATCTTTGATATTGTCTTACAATGCACCAATCATGTTTGTTTAACTCAACTTTAACAATATTTTAACTTTCAGCCTTCTATTGCCAGAAGGCAGAACTCATCATAACACCACAACTGAACTAGTGTGAGAAAGGGAGGAGGGAGGGGTAATGTGCTTACACTTATGGCAAGTCTGTTGGGATTTTGTGTTTACAGGACTTTTGCGTTCACCCCTCGTTTACAGATTTTATATTTATTTTTTTCAAGAATTTTTCATTAGAATAGCAATAGACTGCAAGCAAGTCTAGGTTGAGCTTTAAAAATACATGTATGAGTCAGCCACAGCATTGTAACACCTCACAGGGACATACTACTTTTCCACAGGGAAGTCAGGGGCATTAATTGTTTCTTATTTTGCTGAGAAACTAGTGCTGAGAAATCACAGTTGCTCCGTACTCAAAAAATAAATACACGTGTTCTTGACGCACTTTTTAAACAAGCGTTTTTTTTCTATGTACGCGATTAGAGATCTATTTACTACAAGTCTACTCAACTATAATTGAAAAAACAAATAATATTGCCCAAGATGTATTTGGCTTGGAAATACTGAACTACTTACAAAAAAGTTAACTAATTGCACTGTTTGCAGTAAGTCACAGCATACATAATAGGTATTTCAAAACGCCTTACTATTAACGGTAGTTACTTTTTTATTTTTTTGCAAACTACACCCCGGATACACCCCCAGAAAATCCAAAAAATGTATGGTCGGTCGCAGCTGTCAAATAAAGTTCATTATAATTTGACGGATACTGCGTAACTTTGGAAGTAAAATATAAATATACTTACTCTGAATCTCGCCAATATTGCGCCCATTTTAAAACTCTCAGTTTCGCAGCAATTTTAAATCTGACGGCGATCAAAACAAATCAGAATTCAAGATCGTGTATTTACATCCAGAACTTACACCACAATACCGTCGCCATTTTGATTTCCTGTCTGTCGCAAAGAAAGTCACGCGAGACCTCTCGAGAACAGTGAAGATTACACAGCTTCCTTCGCTTGAACTAATTATAACAACGATAAACAAATTTGAATATCTTGAATAAATAATGTAAAAGTAACTAACTGTATTTTACAGATTATACTGCATATCTTTATAAAAAAAAGTTTCGTAATGCGGTTCAACTTTGACCTTTGAAAATGGTGGCTGTCCTCCACGTGTTTTGTGTTTTCATCGTTTCTGCTTGGTACTAGCCTGTCTTTGGTGACTGTCGTGTACGATTGTTGACTACAACTTAGTTTCTAGTGTGATAATATTTCCATATGCAGATATAGAAGAAGATTCGTCTGTTAAAATGAGCGGGAAGCATTCTTTTAAGGTATAGTATGTCGTTGTTTCAATCAGTGCATTACAACGGCTGCAAACTAGCTGCAGTTCTGTAGCTCT